GAAGGAACCCCCGTTGGGTGCCTCTTCCGGCCCCCCTCCCCGAGCAGGGAAGCCCCCTCAGGCGACCCTTTGGGAGCAACCCCCCCCCCACGTGCGCCTGCCCCGGGGCTGACCCCCCCGGTGCAGGGAAACCCCGTGTGCGCCTGCCCCGGGGCTGACTCACCCCTCCTGTGTGGTTCAGGGAGCCGATGCTCCCTCCTGCAGTACACCCGGCAGAGCAGCTAGTGCACTTCTGAAATCGCCAGAAATGGCGCTAAGCTGTGGGACTTCTGTCCATCCCCAGGAAGCCGACACTACCTCCATTTTCACTTGAGGTAGGTAGTGGGGCTTCTCGGGGGCGGACAGGACACCTTGCGATCAACCTGTTGGTGACCATGGTTCTAAGGCATCACCCCCAGCCTTTACTCCTAAGGCTTGTTCAGAATTTCATCTCAATGAGCCGATAGTGCTACCTGCCTTTTACCCAAAGCCTCACACTTCACCATGTGAGGAAACCCTCTGTACACTAGACGTACGTAGGGCCCTCGCCTTTTACTTGGAGCATACTAAACCATTTAGAAAGACCGATAGATTATTAGTCTCCCTTGCGGAGCGCTGTAGGAGACAGCCCTTGTCATCCCAGAGAATCTCTAACCTAATTGTTTCTTGTATAACCCAGAGCTATGCACTACAAAATGTGCCCCTCCCACAATGCCCTAGGGCCCACTCTACAAGGGCAGTGGCTACCTCCACGGCTTTCCTTAAAGGTGTGCCCCTTTCTGATATATGCAGGGCTGCCACCTGGTCATCTTATCAAATGTTTGCCAAACACTACACTATCCAGCCAAGATCCGTAGCATCTGCAGTGCTCTCCTCCTTACATACATTGAGACATCCAAATCCTGCCTCCTGCACTCGGGTGGGTACTGCTGCTCAGTCACCTAATGTGGAGCACCCACAGGGACATCACTCGAAGAAGAAAGCGAAGTTACTCACCTTGGTGCAGTAACTGTCATTCTTCAAGATGTGTGTCCCCATGGGTGCTCCACTACCCACCTGCCTCCCCACTTCGGAGTCTGTTTCATTCTTTGCAGATCCCGAGGCAGTTGAAGAGGAACTGGCTGAGACCAGATCGTGCAGTGCGGGAGAGCATGAACGCCACGAGACCCCCCTGCACATGTGCAGTCTGACTGACTACGGCTTTGAACATCTCCATCCTGCGGCACTGGGGCAAGCCGAGCACCTAATGTGGAGCACCCATGGGGACACGCATCTCGAAGAATGACAGTTACTGTAGCAAGGTGAGTAACTTCACTTTCACAGGACAGAAGAGTGGGGTTCCACAGGGGTCTGTTTTGGGATCAGTTCTGTTCAGCAATGATTTAGCTATTGGCATACAGAGTATGATTATAAAGTTTGCAGATGATCCCAAGCTGGGAGGGGTTGCATCTGCTTTGGAGGTTGGGTCAGAATTCAAACTGATCTAGACACACTGGAGAAACAATCTGAGGCAAATAGGATGAGGTTTAATAAGGACAAATGCAAAGCACTCCACTTAGGAAGGAACAATCACAGAACGGGAAGCGACAGTTTAGGAAGGATTACGGCAGAAAGGGATCTAGGGGTTATAGTGGACCACAAGCTGAATATGAGTCAGCAGCGTGATGCTGTTGCAAAGAAAGCCAACATGATTCTGGGCTGCATTAACAGGTGTGTTGTGAGCAAGACATGAGAAGTCATTCTTCCGCTCTACTCTGCGCTGGTTAGGCCTCAGTTGGGGAATTGTGTCCAGTTCTGGGCACCGCATTTCAGGAAAGTTGTGGAGAAATTGGAAAGGGTCCAGAGAAGAGCAACATGAATGATTAAAGGTCTAGAGAACATGACCTATGAGGGAAGACTGAAAGAATTGGGCTTGTTTAGTTTGGAGAAGAGCAGACTGAGAGGGGACATGAGAGCGGTTTTCAGGTATCTAAAAGGGTGTCACAAGGGGGAGGGAGAAAATTGTTCTCTTTGGCCTCTGAGGACTGGACAAGAAGCAATGGGCTTAAACTGCAGCAAGGGAGGTTTCGGTTGGACATTAGGAAAAACTTCTTGCCTGGCCGGGTGGTGAAACACTGGAATAAATTGCCCAGGGAGGTTGTGGAATCTCCATCTCTGGAGATATTTAAGAGCAGGCTGGACAGACACCTGCCAGGGGTGATCAGATGGTGCTTGGCCCTGCCATGAGGACAGGGGACTGGATCTGATGACCTCTAGAGGTCCCTTCCAGATCTATCTAGCAGTCCCTGGCACAGCGGGTCCCTGATCTCCAGGCACTGCCCTAGGCTAGCACATTTCGTTCTTTCTTCCATGCCAAGGAGGTTCAGTTCTCTCCAGGCTGGTGTAGCTCTGAAGTGCAGCCACCTTGGGGGCGGCAGCGAGCCCCATCCGGGGGAATGTCCAATGGCAGCAGCACTTAGGATCTGTGCCCTGGGGGATTAACGAGTCCCGGTTGCTTTCCCAGAGCCAAGGGTGGAAATTGGCGACGGTAGGAAGCTCCGAGACCCGCGAGAGAAACGAGCAGTAAAATCCCACGGGCCAGCGAAGGGTTAATCTGAGCTCAGTTATTGAGATCATCTGCAGCTGGCTGCCACCTGGGCTCTTATCAGGAGCCACCAGGGCTGCTGGCTGCTTCCTCCGTCTATATAAACGAGGTGCCCAGCCTCCGTGCCAAGAGAACCTGCTTCCCATCCCCGCGGGCGCCAGGCTGAAGGTAAGAGCTGGCCCTGCCCCTCCCCAATGGGCGCTGAGCCCCAATCCTCCTGCTGAGGCCGTGTCCTGAGCGGGGGCCCAGCCGCGTTCAACGCCCCCGAGAGACATGTCCCCGGCGCTGGCGTTTTCACCCAGCGTGTCTGGGTCCTGCAGCATCCCAGCGGGAGCCTGCGCCTGGCTCCCTGCCCGTCCCAGAGCCCTGCCCCCTTGGCGAGGGAATTCCCTCCGCACCTGGAAATGCAGGCTCCCTTCCCACCCGTATCTCCCCCAGCCAGTCGGAGGGGGCCGCCCGCGGGCGCAGCCCCCCAAAGGGACCACACGGGGCGCCAGGTCGCTCGTGCCCGGGGGGCAGAAAACGAGTCGCCCGACACTGGGGGAGGAATCCCCAAGCTGAGCAACAGAGACGTGTGGACTGAAAGGAAACGCTCCTCGGGCTGCCTGGGGGTTTAACTGCAACTTGTGAGCAGCCCTGCTGCTGCCCAAAGGCTAAATTCCATCGCTGATCTCACCGGGGGCCTATGTACTGCCTGGGAGGATGCTCAGCGTCCCTGGATCCGGGGTGGGGCCCGGCCATGCCCAGCACAAGAGGATCCGGGGTGGGGCCCGGCCATGCCCAGCACAAGAGGATCCGGGGTGGGGCCCGGCCATGCCCAGCACAAGAGGATCCGGGGTGGGGCCCGGCCATGCCCAGCACAAGAGGATCCGGGGTGGGGCCCGGCCATGCCCAGCACAAGAGGATCCGGGGTGGGGCCCGGCCATGCCCAGCACAAGAGGATCCGGGGTGGGGCCCGGCCATGCCCAGCACAAGAGGATCCGGGGTGGGGCCCGGCCATGCCCAGCACAAGAGGATCCGGGGTGGGGCCCGGCCATGCCCAGCACAAGAGGATCCGGGGTGGGGCCCGGCCATGCCCAGCACAAGAGGATCCGGGGTGGGGCCCGGCCATGCCCAGCACAAGAGGATCCGGGGTGGGGCCCGGCCATGCCCAGCACAAGAGGATCCGGGGTGGGGCCCGGCCATGCCCAGCACAAGAGGATCCGGGGTGGGGCCCGGCCATGCCCAGCACAAGAGGATCCGGGGTGGGGCCCGGCCATGCCCAGCACAAGAGGATCCGGGGTGGGGCCCGGCCATGCCCAGCACAAGAGGATCCGGGGTGGGGCCCGGCCATGCCCAGCACAAGAGGATCCGGGGTGGGGCCCGGCCATGCCCAGCACAAGAGGATCCGGGGTGGGGCCCGGCCATGCCCAGCACAAGAGGATCCGGGGTGGGGCCCGGCCATGCCCAGCACAAGAGGATCCGGGGTGGGGCCCGGCCATGCCCAGCACAAGAGGATCCGGGGTGGGGCCCGGCCATGCCCAGCACAAGAGGATCCGGGGTGGGGCCCGGCCATGCCCAGCACAAGAGGATCCGGGGTGGGGCCCGGCCATGCCCAGCACAAGAGGATCCGGGGTGGGGCCCGGCCATGCCCAGCACAAGAGGATCCGGGGTGGGGCCCGGCCATGCCCAGCACAAGAGGATCCGGGGTGGGGCCCGGCCATGCCCAGCACAAGAGGATCCGGGGTGGGGCCCGGCCATGCCCAGCACAAGAGGATCCGGGGTGGGGCCCGGCCATGCCCAGCACAAGAGGATCCGGGGTGGGGCCCGGCCATGCCCAGCACAAGAGGATCCGGGGTGGGGCCCGGCCATGCCCAGCACAAGAGGATCCGGGGTGGGGCCCGGCCATGCCCAGCACAAGAGGATCCGGGGTGGGGCCCGGCCATGCCCAGCACAAGAGGATCCGGGGTGGGGCCCGGCCATGCCCAGCACAAGAGGATCCGGGGTGGGGCCCGGCCATGCCCAGCACAAGAGGATCCGGGGTGGGGCCCGGCCATGCCCAGCACAAGAGGATCCGGGGTGGGGCCCGGCCATGCCCAGCACAAGAGGATCCGGGGTGGGGCCCGGCCATGCCCAGCACAAGAGGATCCGGGGTGGGTCCCGAACAGCCCTCTTCTGGAACGGGGGGAGGGGAGTGTTTTCAAACACTGAAACCCAGAGCGACAGGGACTGAGCCCAAACAGACCTCGCACGGCCCCTCGCCCGCCACGCCCTCCGCCAAGGACGATCAGCGTCACTCGCGCTGCTCTGTAGATGGGGAAACCGAGGCAGGATGGACAGGGGCCTGCAAGCCGCGCAGCGAGGAACAGCTCATTGGCACGGTGACGCACAGCGCTGGGGTCGGTTCACTAGGCCCCGCTGCTCTGTCTGCCGGTTTCAGTTTCTCTTGGTGTGAGTCAAAGTGACCCCTGGGAGGGGTTTTTGGGGTTGCACGTGGGCTGGGGAAGTCTGGGCAGGGGAAAGAACTCAGCCTCCCCACCTGGCTCCTGGTCTCAAACCGGAGTCAGTCCCGGAGTGAGGACAGGTTGGTTCCCTGCACCCTGGATTCTGGATTCTTCCTTTTTTCAAATTTTCACGTGGGGAAAAATCGTCCTCACCCGACGGGGGAAAACACTGCGCCTGCAGATTGTCCATGCCCAGGGAATCCAGCGGGCAGAATTCCCGCGTCGAGCCAGGTCTGCTGCCAAGGCTGCGAGGTTTCGCCCGGGGCTGGACGGAAGCAGCCGTCTCTTGTGTTCCTTTATCTGGCAGATAAGAGAGGGCGCGGTAAGAGTCCCCAGGGAAGGCAGCGTTCCCTGGGAACCGGGCGCTCGTGAGCTGCTCAGCAGAGCCCAGGGCTGCCCAGCTGAATAGCAGAGCGCCCGCAGCTCGGTTTTGTGGGTCTCCGGGGGCCCATTCACATACAGATTATTCTGCACATGGTCGGGAGGGATTAGAGGGAACCGCTGCTCTGCGGTGGAAAGTGACAGTTTCAGTTTTCCCTGTCTCCCAGCACTAACTGGAGTCAGATTTAAAGTCTCAGGAACCTAGTGGAACTCTCAAAGAGCACCTAACCCCCTTGGTTTCGGTGGGAATTAGGAGCCTCACTCAGTTCAGCGTTTTAACATTTTCACCTCTAGGTACTTTGGAAAAGTTTATCCTAGGTCTGGCTCATCCTAAATTCCCAGATAGTTTCCTCCTGGAAACTTAGAGGGTCCTGGATGAATGAAAGGATTGTTTCCAGACATGCTTTCTACGACCATCGCAATGCAAAGGGCCCATTTTGCTTCAGCTTTGAAA